CACCCCCACCCCCACCCTACCCCCACCATATATATAAATATTATCAAGAGTACTTTCTTTTAGTTATGAAGCACAAATTTCAACGTCATTTTTGCGTGAAAAAATAAAGCAGCACATTAGTTCCTTTGGTTTTGTGAATTTTTAAAAGAATAATTAAATTCTTGAAGAAAATAGAGTACTGAAAAAGTTGGATATTTGGGGTGGAAGGGTGGAGGGTGGAGGGAGAGCACAGAAAACATGGGGATTTTGGGGAAGGGGGTGCAAAGAGTATAAAAAATTATTTTACTAAAAAGTATTTTCTAATTTCTAACCAAACACTAGAAAATATTTTCCAAAAAAAAAAAAAATTCACTCACCAACCAAACAAGAGAAAATAAGTGATAAAACATTCATTTTACACGAAAAAATTTTCATTCCTTCATACCAAACACACCCATATAACCTATAAATTTCATCTTTATGCGGGAGAAGTTAGGGACGTTTACAAGTTCATGTAGGTTAATAAAGGTTTACCTTTCAAAATCTCATTCTTTATGTGGCGAGCATGAGATTTCAAATTGTATCGAGGTGCTGGAGTTGTCTGCATCCAAAACAGGAGACAATGCATCATGTTTTCTTTCCATCAACAAGAAAGAACAAAGGATAAAAGGAAGATAACATATTAGCAAAAAGGAAAGGAAATAAAAGACAGAAAATGGATTCAAAGGAAGCTACAGCTTCTACTACAACTCAATTATATGAACATTTTGTGCCTACATCGAAGCTGAGCTGCTTCAAGAACACACTGGCCCTCTTCACCTTAATTTTCCAGGTGTTGTTCTTTATCACTCCTAAGCGACACAGAGTGAGAACTCGTATAGCCGACTCCAACTTGCTTGAAACTGAGACATAGTTGTTGATTATCTGTTACCTCCTCCCACCAACATGGTGTGTGCAATACATTTGTCTTTTTTCTAGAGGGGGAGTAAATTATAAATGATATGATCAGAATTTAAAAGCAGTGGGTGCACCTCTTAATATGTACACATGCTTTTTACCATTTATTTATAAAAATAAAAATATAGTATAAAGTATGAGTCTGTCTAGTGCACCTGCAACTAAATTACAACACAAAAAGAAATTACAGGGACTCTTTAAAACGAAAATTTTGCTAAACTGCTGGATGAGATTTTTTGCACTATACTCAGTATAATGTTAACATTGTCCAAACAAAATGTTCATAATCGGATGAAAACGTCACATATCACAGTAACTTATTTTCATGTTTTATGTCACCTGAGATATCTGAGAAATCATGTATCGACATCACAGCCGAATGTTGAGTTCATATATGATAACGCACTGAAAAGACAGAAATTTATCAGGTTTCAAGAAGGAACAGCTAAGGGTTCAATCGTAGCATGTAAGATTGGATATGGAACAGCTAAAGTGTTTCTCCACATGAAAGAGAGAGAGAGAGAGTCAACTTAGAGTAGACAAAGTGGAAGTCATTTTTTCACAGCAATCACAACTAAACAGAATAAAAGGGATAGCTGAGGGGAATAAACAAAGAACTACCTAGAAGATCATATTAACAGCCACTTAACTTCCAAAACAACACTTTAATGTTTCAGAAAATAAAATATAATATAAAAATGTTCTAAGTAGATGGTAGCTACAATCATCCTTGATTCAGTTTAGCCTCAACGTTTAAGAGGATGACTAACGTAAGTAACATGCCTCTACTTTCATACATAATAAGGAACACTTCTGACTTGACCTGGAGTTCTCGATGGTATCACATCAGCATCCATATTATTAATGGAATGGACGATGTCATTGAAGTTTGAATAGCAAATGTGGGTGTGAATCTGTCACAAAAAATGGCAGTACGAGTAGAACCACGTAAAAGAAGAAAAAAGTAGTAGTTTTTTATAATCGAGAAAATACCCGAGGGCCAGCTAGCGCACAGTTGAAACTCGGTGGATAATGACCTGCCCCTCTACCCATCTTCACTTAAATACCAAACTTTTGTCAGCAGCAAGATTCGAACTCATGAAGTACGACTAACATCACACGTTGTACTTTACAACCGAACCAATACCCTGGGACAAAGAAGAAAAATACTACCTTAAAAGAAAAACTTCCCCAATAACATAAAGCACCTCCTGGTTCTATACAGATCTTAGCTTTACCGGACAACTATTGGAAAGAAAGAACCAATTTCACACATGAATTTGCTTATGAATCTTTTAGTCTCCTTCTTGCAATACTGCTTGACATCATGTTAATCCTTCAGAAATGTGGGGAAAACACTATGTTCCTTAAGCTCGTCTAATTAATATTCTTATCCTTCATCCTGTTCTTTGAGCGAAAGGTGCATGAATTCAGAAGCTAGTTTAGTAGCAAAATACATAGACTACCTAAAATAGAAATTCTGAAGTAGGAAACTTCTGAAGAAGTAGCTAAGCACAACAGACTTTGACAGAGATAATAATAACCATTTGACTTGCAGAATGAGGACAAGACTGAATATCGACCTGGGTAGTGTCTTGAACACTGAAGTTGGTTATCCTGAATGAATCCACAGGCCAGTTCAAGTAGAAAGCTTCCTTGGGCTTTCTAAGAGGCAACGCCTCCCTTAAAGCAGCTCCATCAACTTGAATGACATTAATGCCAGCCTTCTCAAGATCTTCAACCTCATCCTTAATAGCCAATGCAATTTGAGAGCAAGTCTCAAATCTAAACAGCAACAAAACACCAGTCAACTTAGATGTGTGAGACACTGAATGAGGAAAAGAAAAGCGTTAAAGCTTAAAAATTCAAACCTCAGTGCTTGCTCATACTTTGTGCCAGTGAATACCAGGAAGCAGTCATTGGTTTTTCTGACTGACATCACCATAGATAATTGGAGGCTTAACACAGCGGGATCCATAAGATTGAACCCATCCATTGGTTGTAAAAGCTTCTTAGGCATAAGCATAACAAAGTCTAGCTCTTCCTGGAGTTTGACTACTTTGCTGATTTCCTTTGTAATATACTTGACATATCCTTCCCCCAAGATCCTTGAAGAGTCAGAGAAAAAACAATAACTGCCCTAGTAGATAGCTAACTTGTAAGCCTTGTATTCTAGCCGAACTTTTCTTAGCTCTAATGCTAGAGAAGAGCATTATTTCCTGGAGTAAAATTATACCAGCACAGAAAGAAGCTTCTCATCTTTGCATAGTCCATCGGTCACTATGGTCAAGGTTTGCACATCTGGATAAATATTAAGATTTACCATTTCGAAGAACAAAGTCCTAACCTTCTCCAACTGACCAAATTTACAAAGACCATCAATCAATGAATTATATGTGATAACATCCGGAGGAATGCCTTTTTGTTTCATCTCTTCGAAAAGGCTAATTGCAGCATCCATCATTCTATCCTTGCAAAGAGCATCTATAACAACGTTATAGATTCTTGTGTCTGGCATGATGCTTCCTTGTTCCATTACCCTTAGCAAATCGAAAGTTTTTTAGTATGGCCCCTTTTGCTAAGCCCATTCATGACTATCAAATACGTGACTTCATCAGGCTCACATATCTTCTTTCTCACCAACTTTTTGAACAAGTTAACTGCATCTTTGATTTTATTTTCAGCAAAGAGTCCCCTTAGTAAGGTGTTAAATGTGATAATATCAAATGGAATGCCATTCTTCAAGTAAATGGCTAATACTGAAAATCCGCAGTCAGAACGATGCATTAGGCAATAATTATTAATCGCGATACTCAAGATGAAATCATTAACTGGGACGCCCAATTTCCGCATGTCTCGAAAAAGGGAAACAGCAGCAGAGTAATGCTTCATATTTACCATAGTCTTTAATAATTTCGAGAAGCTAAAAACAGAAGGAAGAGGCTGCGTTCTGACCATCCGACGAAAGAGGCTCAGAGCATCATCTAAACACTTGACATTCTCAATATCTATGAGAAGAAGAATAATCTCTGATAGTAAATGCCGAACCAGAACGGGAAATAGCAAAGGAAATACCATTGCAAGAGTAACGCAGCAGGGGGATTCTCGTCATCTTCAATTTGGCGGATGGTGCTCTGCTCTATCTCGGTGTGCCCTAATTTTGCGTAACTACAGTTTATGAGTAGAGGGAGTCTATAAGTACAAAATAACGGTGTGAACTTTTTCTTCCTTTTCTTCACTTTTCCAATTAAAGTTCTACTAAAAAAAGTGTCTTTCTACCCTGCAAATAAAAATCAAATCTCTCCGTCAACTATGAATAATTATCATACTCCCCCTTTATCCTATCCCTTTATCCTACATAATATGTATTTTGTTCTTGTCATTTTTAATTCCCTCTTCTATATAATAATTATTTTACTAATTTCTATATAATTTCCACATAATGAGTAGGCTTCCCCTTTGATTCACTGAATGTGATATAGAATATGGTGGGAGTTGGCGTGTCTCAGTAGGAAAGAGATCACCGGAGTATAGGACGATATCATTTCTTGTTGCCACGGGGATGGGGTAAACCCAACGGGAGCACATACATCCAGTCCCCCCCACCCCCGGAGGGGGGCTTGGGGCTGGTAGGAGCCATCCCATCCCAATATCATATATTTGGAGCTCAATATGAAACCCTATTGTTCTCACTAAAAGGGAGAGCAAATGACTAAATCCACTTCCTAAGTGCTCATCCAACTCGACAGATAAAGTAGAAAAGGTTATTATAAAAGGGAAATGGGATAAGTAAGCACAATATATGCATCTGAGGTCTGTAACCATCAAGCAGCAGTCAAGAAAGAAGAATACTTAGGCAAGCCAGTTAGTCAACTAAAATATGACAAGAACTTGTTAACTCCAACATGTCTTATGATTAAGAAGAAGAACCGTTGGAGCTCTTAGCCAAATGCCAGAGTGCATTCCGCATTTGCCCAAAGAGAAAGGAAACAGCAGGAGGGAGAGGCAAGACTTGGATTAATAAGAACGTAAAAAACAAACACATAGTTCAGCAGCTATTTAACAGACTACTTACTGATGATCATTTTTCATTGGATGATTTCTAAACCAAAATTATACGCAAGCATATTATGCAACGATCTATTAGTTCAACTACAGAAATAGTAACTGACTTGGCATGTTTCTGAATAGTTAAATCTGCTCAATCGTAGCATGTAACGATTGCCTTAAATGAAACAGCTGATGAGTTTCGCCAAACATGAGAGAGAGAGAGAGAGAGAGAGAGAGAATATATACGTGATATCAATATGTGTGTGTGAGGTATGTCTGTGTGTGTTAAATTGGAGTAGATCAACACGAGAAGAGGATGAATGTCCATGCCAGAAGTCATACTTTGTTCACCTAATCCTGAAGAACAGCAACCACAACTAAACAGAATAAAGACAATACCTAAGGGGCAAAAGAAAATCCCCTGCTAAGTTCGTAATAATACTTCTTAACTTCCACAAACAATTCAATGTTCCAGAAAATAAAATATACATATACTTTAAACAGATGGTAGCTTTATACATCCTAGATTCAATTCAGCCTTTGTGTTTAAGAAGACGATAAATGTAACAAAACATGCCTTTACTGTCACACATAATTGGCCACGGTTCTTATTGGGGTATTTCAAGCTCAGAGCAAACCACTTATCTTCACCAATAGGAAGCACAATAGTACCTGTAGGGAAGACCTCATCTGGAATGGATTTGTACACTCCGACCCTGTTGCAAAGGAGGTAACTTTTGGTTTCTACAGACTTTGTCGCACTAGAATTTGCATTCGAGCTGGTAGATGAATCGGATGGTTTCATTTCAGTTAATGATATAGTTTCTCGAGGAAAATAGCACAGTGATTCCACTGAAGAAGGTGATTTCTCATTTCATGCCCCCGCAAAATTGAAGACGCATTAATCTTTTCAGCCCTAATGTACTGTGGAGATGTATGAAGAACAATACTTGTTTCGCTCTGTAAAAAATTAGTGTTGGGATCAAGGTATAAAAAAACAGATTTCTAACTCAATATTAGAACTTGAAACCGGGAAGGAAGTATCTTCAGGAGATCTCTCATTTGACATCTAAAGTATAAGTCTTTAATATATCTTTAGTTGTTGTCCAAGCAACGGCAGAAGCTATTTTCCTATTCAAGCATTGTACAAGCATGCAACATAAACTTCACTGTCTAATCTGTAGCTCTTGTTTTTGAGAAATTAACATTAATCTATAGCTCTTTCTCCTAAACAATAATGTATCATCAGCGAGCCAAACTATATAGTTCCAATAATCCTAGACAAAAAAGAAGCAAGATACACGAGGAGTTAAATGTGATTGAGTCAATAATTTGTTCTTAGTTGCTCATGGACTTCACATTTTAAACACTTGATATTCATACAGAGTTGCACGCGTTATAAGGAAGTATCATTGTTTTCTTGACACTATACAAGAAAGGAACATGAGTGCATAACATACTATAGAGAGAGAGATTGAATTCTCCACACCCTTAATTTAAAACAAACTTCAAGTGTCAATCAATCAACCAATCAAGAATTCTTCAATCACAAACTAATTGAAGACGCTAATTTGAATTCATTGTATCTATTCCACTCTCCTAATAAATTCAGAGGATTCGTCACAGCTAAATTATTTTATGCTGAGAATCCTTATTTTTTATCCGGACCTGGGACCTACTATGCTTTTCATATAGACAGAGTTAAACAAACTTCAAGAGTGAAAAAGAATGAAAAGAAAGAAGAGAAAAAATGATTTTTCTATAACAAAATTAGAACAACAACAACTATGCCTCAGTCCAAGCTAATTGGGGCAGTTATATGAATCCTCAGTATCATTTTTGCTCTCTTTAGGTCCATATTCCATAATATTTCAATACTCCGTATTTAAGGATTATTTAACACTAGGGGTTCTCTAACATACTAATGATTATATCACTATGACAAACTTGGAGGAAAAACATCAAACCAGACTTGACTATTTGAGTTCGCAAATTAAAGAGTAAAATTCAAGGGGAAGGCTAAACCAGAGCTTTTATGTGGAAAATGATCAAATAGATCAAAAAATGGGCATCAATACTAGTCAAGCAAACACCTAAAAACATAACTTTATTTAGAGATATACTTCGTACACCATAAGTAAAATGAAGGAAAGCAAACTTAGCAGCTTCATTATGGGTTGCGATCTGCTCCATCTTGCACGTCTTAAGGCCATAGTCGGGGTTGACCCAGAGGATGATGGTATCAAGGACTGCAAGCATTTTGTTGATTATGTCAGCAATTTCTTATGTTGATGGAATCCTTGGTGAATGGATGTTGTCCACGGCCAATGCCAGCACCGTACTACACTCCCTCATGGAACACAGAAAGAAGCTTCTCATCTGACAGGAAGTTATGATATGATTCTCAAAATGCCAGAAAATGATAATACGTAAAGACTACTAAATACATTGAAAATGCTATTCCTAGACTTAAAATGAGTACCCATAAGGAAATTCTATCGTTTCTCACATTAAGGCAACAAAATATGATTTCCAAGATAAAGTAGAGTGGAATAACAATCAAAATACTAGAACTGATGTACCTCCTCAATAAGTTTGCTTGGAAAGCTCAAGCAATGTTCTAATTTCCATTCTTTCAGCTTCCGCAGTTCCATTAAAAGTGATTACTTTCGCAGAGGTAAAAGGAAATTGTATCACGGTGATAAGTATAGCTGAATAAATCAAGTGAAATAAATATTCACTTCTTACTTCCCGAGGGAAACTGTGGTATCATGTTAAGCAAAGAAGGATCCTTCGCTATAACATCTATTAGTAACTCTAGTGTACTTGCATCAAACGAGAAGCCCCTTTCATTCATTTCATTCAAAAAAACTTTCATTTCACTAATTTTGCTAAACTTTAGAAATCCTCGGACAATAACATTGTAAGTTGCATTGTCCGGCAAACAACTATTCTCCTCCATTTTTCTTAGCATATCTTTAGCATCATCTAATAACCCTTCTAGACAAAATCCATTTATTATTATAGTGTATGTAATCACATTAGGAAACAATCCAATTAAAGAAAGCTTCTCAAAAATGGCATGAGCTTTGTCGAGTTGACCATTTTTGCACAATCCGTCAAGTACAACATTGTAAAGTTCAATATCGGTATCTTCTCTCTTTATTTCCAACTTCTGAAATAGCGACATAGCTTTCTCAACAAGTCCATTCTGAAAATAACCACCGAGCAAAATGCGATTAGTGCATAAATTTGGTTTGAGCCCCGCAGATAGCATCTCAGCAAAGAACTTCTGCGCAAAATCAGTTTTTCCAACTTCAAATAGACCTTGCAAGATAGTACTGTAGATAACAATGTTAGGTTTGGGTCCATTTCGAGAAATTTCATGAAACAAATGCATGGCCTCATCCAATTTCTTCTTCTTACAATATCCATTTATTAGTATGCTATAGCTAAAAATGTCAGGCTTAATGCTCTTATCTATCA